ACACACACACACACACACACACACACACCCTCCCTCCCTCCCTCCCTCCCTCCCTTCTAGGCTTATGTTGCACCATCTAAACTGTGATCTTTCTTTACAGGTAGTCCTCGATTTACAACAGTTCATTTAGAGACCATTCGAAATTACAATGGCAAAGTGTTATTCAGAGTTAACAATCTTTCCAGCGTCCCCATGATCACATGATCAAAATTCAGATATTTGGCAACTGGTTCATATTTATGACCGTTGCTATGTCTCAGAGTCATGTGATCCCCTTTTGTGACATTCTGACAAAGCCAGATTTACTTAACAACCAGATTACCATCAACTGCAATGATTCACGTAACAAATGAGGAAAGAGAGGTCGTAAAATCAGAGAAAATTAACTTAACAAATGTCCTCACTTTGCAACAGAAATTTTGGGCTCAATTGAGGTTGTAAGTCAAGGATTACCTGTATTTATGTGTGGCCTGTAGAGGCCTTCTAAACCCTCTCCCATCCTCCTTCATGGCCTCTCCTGCCTACCTCCTGCAGCATCCCCACACCCCTTTCCTTTCCTTCCAACATTTCCTGCACGTCGTAGGATTACAATGGCAACAGGGACGGTTAATACTAAGTGATGTAGTTGTGCTTTCTGACTGCAATGCCTAACGACAGCAATCCTAATGACAACTGCTGTCATACCCCGAGGACTACCTTTGTCAGATTATGATCATGCTGTTTGGGGAGGACAAATCTTTTGTTCTAACGTCCTTGGACAACATCTGGTTGGAGAAACCTGGGCTAATGCCCTCAGTTAGATTTGGGGGAAATCACATTCAGATCTTTGTTCAGTGACAAAACTCAGAGTCTCCTGTTTTAATAAATCCCCCTCAGAGCCATTATGAGCAAATATTTGTTGAATTTTGCCCCATTTTATAACCTTTTTTTGCCATAGCTGTTAAGTGAATCATTGCACTTGTTAAATGAGTAACAGTTATTAAGTGAATCTGGCTTCCACATTGACTTTGCTAGTCAGAAGGTTGTAAAAGGGATCACATGAACCTGGGACACTGCAACCATCATAAATATGAGTCAGTTGCCAAGCATCTGAATTTTGATCACATGACAATGGGGATACTGTAATGATTGTAAGTGTGAAAAATGGTGGTAAATCACGTTTCTCAGTGATGTTATAACTTAGAATGGTTGCAAAACGAACTGTTGTAAACCAAGGATTACATGTATAACACAAGTTTAAAAAACAGCAAAGAAATAAGGTCCCCAATGATTATTCTGTAGCCCCTTATTTCCTGAGGACACTAAAAGTGTTTCCTCAGCCACCCATTTTCTAAGATCAGACAGAGGTAGAGACTTGTATAGGTCTCACTCTGCTATATTGAAAAAAGAAAAAAAGCCGTTCCCTTTCCAAACTGCAACATAAGTGAAAATTCTGCAAGAATTTCCTATGCAGTTGGCATCTTGCCCACCTAAGGGCACGGGCATTCCCAACTTAACGTGCAAGTGCATTTCACCACGAGCACCAGAAAGGGTGTTGTAATTTAACCTAACCTCCCAACCACAGCATCCTAGGTCAAGAGAAGGCCCTTCAAGCTGAGGCATGCAGTGATGGCAGCTGGCTCAAATTTTGTAGGAGTGGGGGGTACAAGAGAAGATGGTCGTTCCAGTTCCAGAGTAACAGCTAAATTTTATTATGGTTTTCTACTAAACCAGGCCAGGAAAAAAAAACCCCGTTTTTCATGGGCTGGCATATTACTGTACTAAGAAAGAACTACAACCCAGCTCAAAACCTGTTATACTCATGTGAAAACAAACTCTGACAAAGAAAATGGGATTTGAATAGACTAGAGAAAAAAAGGAGGATCTTGAGAAGCCAAATATCTGTTTGTTTACCAAAATATCTCAAATTCTGGACCCCAACCAAGGCAAGGGTTCTGTCCTTTGAGTTTTGATTCCTTGTCACCTTACAGACACATAGTTTTCTTGGCAAATTGTGGAAAAGGTTAGGCACTGTCTTCTTTTTTTTTTTTACTTCCCAGTTTAGCAAAGAGGCTTGTGATTTCCCACTGAAATTTAACTAAGCCCAAAGGTGCTTAGCTTCCAAACTCATCAACTTCAGCCATGTAGTGACACTAGCAGTGGTCTCCAGAGTTATTTATTTATATTTCATATTTACTGTAATGCAAATACAATCATAGTTAATCAAACAAAAGCTAATGTCCCATCTTGTAAACCTGTAAACGTGTAACTGTCTTGTAAACCTGTGGGCATATATGGAAAGATACAAAATAAAGAAACTAAGCTTAAGAATAGTGCTCGTGCTCANTCATGGTTGCTTCACCCCTGAGGCTGTGCCCGGCTCTTCGGGAGCAGCCACCCGGCAACCCCAAAACAATAAGCCTTCCCGTGATAATAAGGCCCAAGCCATATTTTGTGGGCCAAAAGAAAATAAGACCCTGTCTTATTTTCGGGAAAACATGGTAGGTTACTAATAAGCAATCAAATCATACTAGGAATAAATAAAATATCTAATGCAATGATTCAAAAAATATATCAGTCAGTCCTAAAATCTCAAATTCTGAATTCTCTTTTTCTAGCCTGCAATAGCATAAGAATAATATAATCCCTTAATAAGTGCACTTTGTAGAATTTAGAACCTCTATCGGATACTTCAATAATAATGGTATGATAACCTCTTCCTTAAATTCACAGAGTAGCAGATAATTGTTGTTTCCCCTTTTCTCTCTAACCAAACGGACAGGGACACACATTCTTGCTTTTCATTTTGTATTGTACTTCCAAAAGGAATATGTTGCACTCAGCCAGATTAAAAACTTTCCTATAATTAAGGACTTATTAAGCAATCAAATGTAAGTAATCCAAATCACTCTCCACCCCCAACTCACTTGATTCTTGATCAAGCAGAAAATTTATTTCTTAACTTTTAACATATTTCTTTAAAGGGAAAGTGGGCTAATCCCTCATCATTTGCTCTGCACTTATTTACAATATCATTGTAATATTCTGTAATAGTTCAAATCTGGCCACACCACTGATTTATGTAGAAGAATTAGAATACTGTTAATTTCTGATTTCTTCCCTAATCTTCAATATAAATGTGTTAGTTGCTTCTCCCCCTCTTGACATAAATTGACATTTATTGGGAATGAGCATAACAACCTTAAGATGGTTTTCTTGATTGACAATAACATAGCATCGAGGATGCCTTGTTTCAATATTCATGTTTTAATGTGTATACCCACCTTTATTTTAGTGCCTATTTCCTATCAAACTGGGTAAGTATAATTTAAATGTTTGAAACCTTATGTCTGCATTGGTTAGGAAGAGAAAACGGGATATTGACACAAGAAGGAATAATGTAGGATTGGGAAAATACTAATGATACTTATTTTTCTGCTTCCTTTATATAAGTTCATGTGATTTATTATTTTATTTTTTCTGCCTGGGAAAACTGCAGAGTTTTATTACCTTTATCAATAGGGTTATTTATTTCATAGTATGGTAACTATACAGGGCTTCAATAATGTCAGGTACTTTTTAATAGCAATCTAGTTTTCCAATAAGATATTTATGAGCAAATAATTTGAGGCAAAACCTATCAAACACAAGATATAAATTATTAAGTAAATATTAGATTAAGTTAAGTATAAAATATAAAGTCATGCGGAAGTCAACTCAGTTACCTGAAATGGATAATTCAGTCAGTTCCTTTTTAAGCATGTGGTTTACATGGATATGTTAACAATTTTCTTAGAAATCTTGATTTAGAAATGTTTTATTGCGTGAAGGCTGCACCATGTTAAACTATTATTTTTTATAGATTTTAGCCTCTTTTGGAGAAGTCAATGCAGGTAATCCTCGCTTAGCAGCCACAATTGGGACCAGCAACTCAGTTGTTAAGTGAAGCAGTCACTAACTGAAACAACAACTGTGCTTATGATCTTTACATACATTTTTCCTTTGCTTTATAGACCCACGAAGGTTGTACATTAAGTGTGGGGATTGATATAAGATTATCTTTTCATCACGGTAGTAACTGCAAATGATTGCTAAATGAGGGAGTCACTAGCTGAGAACTACCTGTAATCCAAGAAATGTATACATTTCAGATAGCACAATTCAGGAATTTATTTTGAAAATGTATCTTGTTAAAAAAAACAACACATCAGATATAAACCCCTAATACTAGAAACCAATGTGCTTCACATTAGTTATGGAGGTTTTGACTGTGTCAGCAGTATTAATAACATAAACACTTTACTAATTTAAGAACACAGAAGTTACATATTTTGTTAAAATATACTCTTTCCATTATTTAAATAGCTAATGATCCAAAATAGGCAATTTGGGCATATGTTTCAGCCGGTGTATAACTAAAGTGCTAATAAATTAAGGAAATTTGAAGAAATCAGGAATTTCTTAATTCAATCACAGCTAAAGACATATTCACTCACGTGACCCATCAAAACCGCGCTCGACTAAACCGCGCCCGATTAAACCGCATCACTGACGTCATCAACAGGGCGACAAAGGCCAGTGCGGAGAAAGAAGGGCGCTTTCAATAGCGCTTTGAAAGCAAGTTGATTCAACTTAAGGTAAGGGTTAGG